ATCAGTTGTATGTCATTTGAATCTTGTAGATGAGTTATTCTTGTTGACGCTGAGATTATCAGTTTTAATTTTTTATAGTAGATAATTTAATGTTCTTGTTTTTGTCAGCTGCAGTTGTATATTTCTTTATGTTTCTAAGCGAAGATTAATCTTACTTATAGTTACCGTGCATTTAGTTTTTATAGAAAATATTATTGTTTTTATCTGCAAGTTCAGTGTTGCTATTGTTCACCTTAGAAAGAAAAAGTCTAATTTGCTGATTTATGGAGGTATTTCAGAAAAAACTTTATTAATTCTGTTTCACATTGTAAAGTTCATTAAATAAAAATGGACGGGAGAATGTATTGCCCTGCGCTCTCACGAGGAAAGATTTTTTAACGCCTATTTTATTATATAAAGTACATTTACATGCACTAGTAAAATTAAGGGACACACTACATTAATTGAAAAACACGCCTTCATTTAACATTGTCCATCTCTATCCTTTCTCTAATCTCTCTCTCTACTAATTTCTTTTCTCAGTATACACAACAGGCAAAAACTTTGGGACAATCCTGCATTAATTGAAAAAACATCCTTTCCGTCTATTTATATATATATATATATATATCCTGTATATATATATATATCCCTATATATATTTAAAGAACAGCTAAGTTTTAAGACTCTGTTTTATAGATGATTTTATTTTCAAAATTTACTCAAAAATGGAAGCATTATTTTTTAAATTTATATATTTTATATATATTTATATGAAAATGGAATTAATGTCTTAAATTTAATTAATCTGAAAATTTAAATTCATGCGTTTTGGATTTTTTTATTTTTGTATAATGAAATCAAAAAACATACCAAATTTTAAATTTTATTGTCCATATAAATATTTTTTTTTTTTATTTATATATATATATAATATATATATTTTTCATATATATTATATTATATAGAACAAGTTAAATGTAAAAAATCCTTACTTTTTTATTTATTTTTAAAATACTTTTTTTGAAAGGTTCTAAAAGTTTAATTTTAAATAAAATTTTTGAAATTTTTTCTATTTTGTCAAATTCTTATCAAAATATTTTAAAAAAATGTTACCTGATCATATTTTTACTTATTTTCTAGAAAATAATACATAGTAATTCAATAGATACAAAAGTTCCTTTTAAAATAATATTTTTTAAATAAAATTAAAATTTTTCTAAACGAAACAAATTCTTGATGGCAATTCTAACAATTTTGTAAATAAAAAAAATAGTATTTACTATTTTAAAATGTAGAATCACTTAAAAGACTTTATCAGTTCGATTAGAAATGGCAATCAATGTCTAAAAATTGAATTCACAAACGACTTTGTTTTGTTTTGACCATAACTGGGAAATATTTTAAACTCAATTATTTATAAAATATATAAATATATATATATATATATATTCATCGTCTGTCTTTTCCCAAGGTGAAAGTTGTGTCACTTTGACGATTTTTGAACTGATTCAGTCTTTCTTATCAAATCGTGAAATGAAAGTTGTCATGAATGGCCAGTCTTCTAGATCATTCTCTAGTAATGCAGGTGCCCCCCCCCCGGGCTTTATCCTTAATTCAACTTAGTTTTTAATTTTCATAAACGACCTTCTTGATGGCACCAGCTCACAATTCGGTACCTATTGTGATGGCAATTTTTCCCGTCTCTACTAATTTGATCAGTTCGATTAGAGCCAATCGGTTGATCTAAAACTCCATTTGTTGTTAACTGGAAAAGAATGCCAACAAGAAAAAAACTTTCTTTCTACTAATCATCTGAGAGACACCATTCTGCCTCGTAACGCTTTCTCGGATTAACGTTCTTGGCTGACATGACGTGGAAAGATTATATTGAATCCATTTCTAGGTTAGCCGCTAAAACACGTTCACTGTGTTGTACTATAACAATTTTTCTCTCAAATTTATCTTACATATCTATAAGTCTACCATTCGCTCCTATTTAAACAAAACTTTCTTGCCGCTTCACTTTCATTTGATTTACATATAATTCACAGAAAAAATCCTACTCATTTATATATACAAACCTTTCATATTTTACCCTATTTTCAATATACCATTATCCAAATTCAACAATATACAGTCCACAACAAAAAACAAACAATTAATTACTTTGTTATTTGTGTATTACCAGATTTACTTGAACAAATCTTCACACTTTTACCACCATTAATTTTTTCTTTAATCACTATTTTTAACAATCTGCATCTATGTGTGCAAAATTCAACTCACCATCTCAATTCTTTCTGTTCTTGGCTTCGCCCCCCATAATTCTCAGCATCTAACTAATCCATTACCGACTTTACTGTGGTTACAACTAGAAATGTCGAAACTATCCGCGTATATACGATCACTGTCACAAATCAATCTATATATAAAATTTTGTGACTTCGTTTGTCCACCCATCCCTCCGATACACCCTCTAAAATAGCCATACATTGACTAATCGAAACCAAATTTTGGGGAGAAGTATAAACAGGTAAGGGGTGGGGGTACAAAGTACAATTAGTTTTACTAGGATTCGCAGCTTAGTACAATAATTTTTCATTACTTTTTTTGGAAAAATTAAGTTTTATTATTTAGCATACAAAAGACTCCCACTATTTTAAAAACCATTTAATGATTAAAATAGCAAAATACTTATTTAATAAAAATGCAATATTTACGCCTGACCAGGTGTATATTACATGCTCAAGAGTAAGAAATCCTAAGAAGTCATTCTTCGCTGTTAAAAAGGAAAAAAGAAATTTTCTTAAAAAAATATTGTTTACTATGAAGTCCTATAAAATTAAATTAAATTAAAGAAATTCTTAAATTGTGGGTTCAAACTGACCGAAGAAAAAGACAAAAAATTCACGAGATTATGTGAAGTTTTCTTTGGACAAATAAAATCTTTGTATATATAAAAGAAAGTTTGTAAGAGAGATGGTTAAAAAAAACTTTTAGCCCTCATTTTGCATAAGATAAATAAAATATAATAAGAGTAAACATGCCTGTAAAAAGACTTGTGTTTTAAGAGTATTTTAAAATTACCTGAGATGATATAAAAATTAATAATAAATAAAATACCATAAAATTTCATAAGGGATGTACGTAAAAATTATAATTACCTCTCTAATTTGTGAAATTGTATGTTCTATTAATATTTATTATCTTCGTTATGGAATTTTAAATTTATTTTATTGTTATATAGTATTTTAAATTTTATTATTATTTTTTCAGAAAGCATCTTTAAATGTATGGCTATATTGCTAAAATACCTAATAATTAAAAAAATCTTAGATTGCTTAAAATATTTGTCAATTTTTAAAAATTACTGGGTTCTTAATAAGTTCATTGAAAATTTGTTACTTCTGTTCATCCGTCCGATGACTTCTGACCTCAGCTGTCAACGCCATCAATCAACACCTGACAAACGAGTCACCGTAGTTATGAAATGCTTTTCTTATTTTCTACTAATTTTTTGGTCTGCTTAAAATGTATATACCTGTTTGTTACCAATTAGATTAAGTTTGTACGAGAGATGGTAATAAAAAAATAGTCTTTATTTTGCATATGAAAAGCTAAATGAAATATAATAAGGGTAAACATGCCTTTAAAAAGTCACATTTTAAGAGTTGTTTAAAGCATATTTAAATGTATGGCTATATTGCTAAAGTACCTAATAATTAATAAAATCATAGATTGCTTAAAATATTTGTCAATTTGTAAGAATTACTTGGTACTTAAATAAGTTCTCTTAAAATTCGTAAAATTTGTCACTTATGTTCATCCATCCCATGACTTCTGAACTCAGCTGTCAATCAACACCTGAAAAACGAGTCACTGTAGTTATTAAATGTTTTTTCTTATTTTCTACTACGTTTTTTCTGCTAAAAAAGTAAGTAGTGTTTGTTTCAAATTAGATTAAGTAAACTTTAAATTTTCCAATTTTATTCAAATAACCTTTGAAAAATTTATATCTTATTTTTACAAGATTTTTAAAACAGAGAATTTACTTTTTGCTTACAAATGCTCAAAATGGAGGATATCATCCATTTTACTGTAAACAAAAGAAAGCTTATTCCAAGCAATAAAAAATCGGTTTTAAATACATCAAAGTATTTTGCTTACTGGGTACAGGTAATTTAATCCTTTACCTTTGAATTAAAGCTAAATAGAAAGATTAAGGAACGACTTTTCATTTTTTTAAATTAATTTTAAATTATAGGTATTCCAGATCCAGAACAGGTGGTTAATTATCCAACGGAATTTCTGAATTCTCTAGAACCTTCTGGACTACCTTCACATAGACTGCAACTCGAGATGGGGGTGCCTATAATACTATTACGGAATCTGGACCAACTACGTCTTTATAATGGCACCAGGCATGTGGTTAAGAATAAAATGTCACATGTAACTGAGACATTGGTTCTTACTGAGCATGAAAAAGGCGAAGATATCTTTATTCCTAGAATTCTTCTTATTCCTTCAGGGTCGGACATTGCATTCACATTTAGGAGATTTCAGTTTCCAATACGAATAAGGTTTTATGTCTATTAACAAAGCACAATGCCAGAATCCCAGACAATGCCAATCAGTTACTAGACTATAGTTAGATGAATCCTGTTTCTCTCATTGGCAGTTGTATTTTGGCTGTTCATATGTTGGAAGTAAAACAATTTTGTTTGTTTATGCTCTACAAGGAAATACAAAGAACATTGTCTGCCAAGAAGTATTGTAATGTAAAAACTGTTTAAATGTATTTTTGTGTATGAATAAATGAATTTGAAGTTATATTGCATTTATAGATTTATATTTAACTTTTAAAATCCCGGGCAACTCTGCTAGTTTTATATAAAGTTATCAACAATACCTATTTATAGTAAAATGATGAACAATACATTTGAAAACTAGAATGACTAACACTACATTTTACCTGTAGTTGAAGGAATTTAAAATATTTAGGTTTCAGCATTAAATAA